AGATAAAAGAAAGAAAACTCCAAAGCAAACCCACGAAAAAAAAAAAAGGAAAGAAAAGAAAGAAAAAAAAATCGTTTCTGTGATCTATCTGACCTTCGACCTCTCCAGCGCACGGAAATATTTTGTTGAATAATAGACCGTAAAAAGGTAACAAACAAACACTGCAATACTTTCCAAATTCATATAACCATCAAAGAAAACACACAAATAAACAAAACAAGACAAACACAAACAAACAAAAGACAAACAAACAAAACAAAACAAACACAAACAAACAAAACAAGTCAAACACACAAACAAACAAAACAAGACAAACACAAACAAACAAAAGACAAACACACAAACAAACATAACAAGGCAAACACATACAAACAAAAACACAACAAAACATAGAAACAAAACCACAACAAAATAAACACACACAAAACCACACAAAAACACAAAAAGCAAACAAACAAACAAACAAACAAACAAACCAAACCAAACCAAAACAGCATCCCTCCCTAACCTCCCTTTTAACTCCTGTGTCCTCCCCCAGATCCTCCTCTGCCTGCTGGGCTTGGCCTCCGTCGCCCTCGCCAGCCCCGCCAAGCTCCCCGCCGCCCAGCCTGAGGACAGCTACGAGGAGGAACCCAAGAGACCCTACAGCTTCTCGTGGGAGGCGTCGAGGCACTACCACGGGGCGCCAGACAGGGAGCATCAGGAGGAACGCGGCGAGGATGGCATCACGAGAGGCGTGTTTAGGTGAGGAAGGGGCTGCTTTGGGGGTTCTGGGATATGTTTTTTTTTTAATTTTGAGGATTATTATTGGTATTTTAGATTTTTTTTGTTGAAAATTTGGGTGAGTTATTAGTTGCATTTTTATTATCGTTAATTTTTTTTTTTTTTTTCGAATTTTGGGTGAGTTGTTAGTTGTATTTTTATTATCGTTAAGTTTTGTGGTTTAGTGTTGTTTTTATTATCGTTGAAGACGATATCAAAGAAGAGAAAGCAAGAAGAATAAGAATAAGAATGTTAATAAAAACAAACAAACAAACAATAAGTAATAAAAAATATAAAAATAAAAATAAAAGAAAGAAAGAAAGAAAGAAAGAAAGAAAGAAAAACAGGCTTACCTCACCCCTTTCCCTTGCCTCCTACAGATACGTAGACCCCCGTCAGAAGGTGCAGGAGGTCGTCTACTACTCCGACGACAACGGCTTCCACGTCGACGCCTCCAACCTCCCCCAGGACACCCAGGCCGTTCAGGACGCCCGATTCCGCTTCGCCGAGAACTTCGAGAGGATTCGCCAACAGCACGCCCAGATCGCAGCCGAGAGGGGCGTCGACGAGTTCCCTCAGGAGCCGGAGACTTACGAGTAGGTACTCCTTGGGTCGCAGGGGCGTCGAGGAGGATAGGAGGAGGAGGAGGAGGATAGGAGGAGGAGGATAGGAGGAGGAGGAGGAGGAGAAGGAAGAGGAGGAGGAGGATAGGAGGAGGAGGAGGAGGAGGATAGAAAAGGAGGGAAGGATAGGATAGGAGGAGGAACAGGAGTAAGAGGAGAAGGAGGAGGAGGATAGGAAGAGGTGAAGGAGAATAATAAGAGGAGGAGAAGGAGGATAGGAAAGCAGGGGAGGGCAGGATAGGAGGAGAAGGAGGAGCAGGAGCAGGAGGAGGACGAGGATGGGGATAGGGAGAGGAGGAGAGACATGAAATAGGGAGGCGTAACAGTCCTAAGAATAGGAGATAGGAAGAGTAGGAGAAGAAGGAGTTGGAGTAGGAGTAGGAAGAACAGGAAGATGAAACAGAGTGACTTCAGAAATGTTTAAACATAGCTGCTACTCCTCACTAAATGCCATGACTTATATCGATAGACATAACCATATCTGTTTTGAAAATGATGCTTTGTGTTTTGATGAAAGAAGTCAGTGAACGTGGCATGAAGACAGATGTTCCTTGTTAAACTGTTTTTGCAAAAATTTACTCACGCTTTTATTCTCTATTGTGTCATCTTCATAGAAACATTATTTAATAATCTCCCATACAACACAGATGCTACTTACTTAATACTCACATCTGATTTTTTCCTTTTTCAAAAAATGTCATTATTTATGCTTGAGTTATAATTCATCGCTGTTTTTTTGTTTTTTTTAATCATGAACACCTAACGGACATTTTTACTAGTCGAAATTACCTCAGTTTTTTTTTGTTTTTTTTTGTTTTGCCTTTAGAAAATAAGCCAAATTTTATTTTCTTTTTCTTACAAAATACCTGTTTTTCTTGCTTTTATATCTGTCTTTCCTGCTTTTTCACTTTCACTACGCCATTGCTCTGTACTTATCATTTTGCAAATAATATAAACTTAACTCGGCAAATGGCATATTGATAATAATGTAAAGTGAACGTTCCAGATTATTTATTTGTAGGATTTTCTGTTAAAAGGAAAAGTGTGCTAAATATATTCCATGCACAATCTGATTAGAAAATTAGATCGTTGTTGCTGTAATGAGTATTAAAACG